TAATACGAAGCTTTTATTCAGAGATTCTTTGTAAATAACAAGTATTCACTACTTAATATTTAGCTACTTCCAATAATTTAATTCAGGTATTACAATCTACAGTTAAATATTATCTTAAGTATTTATTTATTCACATGTATTTTAAAAAATAAAATAATTTAATATAGGTGTAAATCTTATACGTTAAATATGCCTAAGAAGAAAACTGGACAGAGAAAAAAAGCGGAGAAGATGAGGGCCCGACAAAAAGGAATAAGGTCAGCAAAGGACAATTTGTCTTTGGCTAAACATCCTTGTAATGCAACAATGGTAAATACATTTTATTTTAATATGATTTATGTTATGACAAAAATTTTGATGGGAACAAAAATTTAACCATACATTATGTGGTTAAAATGTAATAAAAATACTGATAGGTTGTTATTAAACCAATGTAATTTTCGTGAAATTGATTTACCTAAAAACAATTTATGATAATTTAGAATAATCTGTAGGTAGACATCTTGTTTTAATGTTAAAAATATTGTTCTTTTATTTTTTACTTATAAAATAACTAGTTACTCATCTATTGGTATTAACATAAACAATGTATGTATATACAAAATATAAAATTCATTGGGTTTTAAAATATCTTAAAAATACATAAGTACAATGCCAGATCTTGAACTATTAGGGCACCGCTACAAAAAAAAAAAACATAGGGGACCCTAATTTAAAAATGATGTAAAAAAGCTACAATATCCATAACATCAACTGCCCCCCTCCAATATTTCAAAGAGTCAGGACCTCAATGTAATACACCATTTGCACCGGCGGTTTATCCAACTCTGCTTGAGTATAACTTTCATGAATTTTAATAATTTTATCTACCTATATTTTGTTAAACTAATTAATTCAATTAAGTTTATTAAAAAAAACCATTTAGATGTATTTAATTTAAATACATTCCTAAACCTTATAATGATTTCTTTTTAATAATTACATTTACATTTACTTATATATTTGTATTGTTACATTGAGTATAATTTATTTTATTAGCTTAATTACTATATTATATTTAAGATGATAAGTTTACCCTCTTGACTGACAAAATTTGGTCGAGTTTATGCAACCCTTCCATAAATGTCATTAACTGAGTGCTAGTATTGGACATTGTGATACTACTATTATGTGTACACAGTGAGCAATACTATCACACTGTTTTCCCACAACTCAGTTGAAGTATCCGAAGAATGAAAGTGGGTAACTTAACTTGAATGAAATATATAGTTATA